GTCTGGGCCTCCCTTCTGAAGCTGCTGCCCCCGCGACCCGACCCCGGATAGGCGGAAGAAAATGGATGGATGGAAGTTTAAAAAAATCTGACCCTTACCACAGTTCTACACATGCTGCTGCATGCTTTTAGCCAGTCTTTGTGCCAACTGTCTTTTCTGGTTTGATTTTCCTCTAAAGTGTGTTGCTCAGCTGTGTTAGCTGGGTAAACTTAGTGGATACATTTTAAATGTCTAATTAAATTGGTGATACTGAATGTAGCTCATTTGCTACTACGATAAGAAATACCTTGATGACAACATTTAAGTAGCTATTGGCTCTCCTTTTTAAAGTGCTTTTATACAGCCGACATGATGGCACATTACACCACAATGTTCTAGGTGGCTGTTATATGACTGATGTAAAATTTATAGACATTAGGCCAACAACAAGTCCTTCATTCATAATCTATGTCAAACTGCAGCACAGTTTTGTACTTTTTGTTGTAAAAGGTGAATTTCAGTTTCAGTAATACTGAAATTGTTAAATTTCTTTATTTTCTGGAAATATTTAAAGCTGCAGAATAAACTATTGTTAAAATGAGTGGATCTTTTTTTTTTTTGCTTATTATAATGGTAAGAAAATGAAATTGAGTCAAACTGGGTATATTTTTCCAGTTCACACCAGCAAACACATTGAAGCACTCTCTGCGGCTTACAAAACAATTTTCATCATTATTCTACAAAGTTAATTCCTGGTAGTGTGATTTTTGTGTTTACTTCTGTTTAGCTGAATTGATGTTGTTGGAGAAAAACAAAGTTTTATCTCAATTGCAGAACTTGGACGGGGCCTGCATCCAATCAGTTAATCTGGTCGTTGACGAGGATCCAAGAACAGAGATCACTCTGAGTCACGTCGGCGAGGTCTTCATGGCTGGACAGTACCGCATCTCACTCCCCTATTCTGATGGTACTCTCCTCATCTGTTATCACTTTTCCAGCTTTGTTAATTCACCAGGACTCAACTTGTGTTCAGCACTCTGTAGGACATCGCAGAGACAGATTGAATGACAACTGTGCCATTGAAGGAAAATTTTCCCAATATCAAACTGGCTCAGCTTCCACATTGTGCTGCGGAAAATGCTTTCCCTCTGAGCATTGCTCTCATTGTATGCCAGCATCTTGATTATTGAGTCAACTGTCTTTTGTGTGTTTTATGTGAAGCTATGTGAGGAGGATCTGATACTGAGTGTTTCTATGAATAACAGCATCAGCATATATTTTTCTGTGTCCTGTTATAGGACCTGACAAAACACTTTGCATCTTTAGTAGTTTTATGATCAGCCTTTTTTAAATTTCAATTCAATTCAAAAGCTTTATTCATTTTTTAAAACAAAATTAATTCTATGTACAATAAAAAGGAAATACAAATACAATGAAATGAAAAGCAGCAGAGAGGAGAAAAAAAAATCTCATATCTGCCTCTTTTTTTCGTCAAGTATAAACTCAAACAACAATGTAAGGGTTTAATTTTACCTTCTAACAAGGTTATAAGGAATTTATTTTAGCAAGGATCTCTTTATTTTCATTTTTTTGTCACTTCAGTAGAAAATGAAACCAAATATTAGTTTATTTAGTTTATTTATTTCTTCATCATCAGTGACTTTTTTAAGTGAATAGAAAATAGAGACAGGGAGAAAAACAGAGAGAGAAGTAATTAGACGGATAGAAAGATTGAAATAGCGATTAGAAGTATATTAAATATACACCAACAAAACACAGGACCACACACCCAACATCTGTCCACTCACCTGAAAAATAAATGGATAAATACATAGAGGGCATATATAAAAATATACACATACCCATACATATATAAAGATATACATACATACATACATGCCTACATTCATA